TTCGCCTACCAGTAACACAAATATTGATCTAATCCGAACGCTTCGCCTACCAGTAACACAAATATTGATCTTATCCGAACGCTTCGCCTACCAGTAACATAAATATTGATAGACCTTTACGAACCATTGACATAATTCATGTTTGACACTTAACATTGGAGAACGCTTATTTTCCCAGTTCTGTAATTCGCTATGACGTCATCGTCAATCCTCCATCATATCACAATGACGCTATCAAACGGATGTGTCAAATATAGGTCAGGTGAAGGATACAGATAAACTTTGAACTTTCAGACAAATATCAACGACATACTAGTGTTTGAACTCATGAAGTAAAATTTGCAATTATCAGATGTCTGTCAGATCCTTTCTAAATTGATATAAACAAGATAGTTGTCTTTTGTTAACTCCAAATTACAAATGTTTCTTTTCTTGCAAAGAAATGATTGATGCAATATTTTTCTACAATGTCCTTAATGGAATTGTTGATATAGCCACTGGTTTAAAATGTTCTTATTCAATAAAAGAGAATGAAATTAATCTCATAAATTTTCATATAAAGTAACAAAAATATTACACTGGCTTCCACACCGAACACGATATCATGTTCTTTATAAATGATAAAATAAAGATATTCCATTTGTTTCAACTTTATGCTCAAGAAAGTTTACCATGTACTTCGTGATAAAAACAAAAGCGAAGAGATATTTCACTGTATGGTAGTATAAGAAACATTTGAGACAACCATATAAATCTCCTAGTAACACAAACATTGATCTATTTCAAACACTTCGCGGTGTCGTGGTCTCGCAATACCGCGTTCCATTACACAAAGGATATTACTATGTCCCTTATCAGCCACCGTACTGAAGAGACAGCTGCTGATGTTTTTTTGTATAATTTCTATACTTCAAATACATAAGAATTCCTTCTGCGATATAAAAAAATAGTGAACCGTGTTTAAAACGAAATAGACAAGGCTTAAGCTGAAGTAATTATAGTTTGTAGATCAATGCTGCGACATGTTTTAGCTTACGTTATTAAGTCCGTGGTTTTGTATTTTCTCAAGCCAGAGACCTTTGTCGATACGTCAATATCTATTATCTCAACGTCACATAAAATGGTAGACATATCTGGTGTTTATGACACAGACTCACGATCACTGCTCTATATATGGATAAATATATAAACACGAAATTAAATTTACTTTCATCCTAACTGTTTAAAATCTGCTTTCTCGAAGATATAAGTTTCAAATTTTAAATAAATTTGTGTATTTTTTCTCAACCGATCGTTACGTCTGAAGATCACAGGCCGGGAACCAGCTTTAAAAAAAGGTTGTTTGTTGGTTTTCGTTTGGTTCTATTTTCAATCATTTTGAATTTCCACACACAATACCATCAAACGCCCATGGCACTCTCTGTTAAATTTATAATTAGGGAATATAAAAAATGAATGGATTACACACGGTTTGCCGCAAGTAGGTAGGAATTAGAGAAATAAAACTTCTGAAAGAAAAACCTTAATCATGAGACGGTTTCCGGATCTGGCTGACGCGAAAGGCAGCTACTGTTCTTAATGGACTCCAAATTCACACGAAACAAGTATCACACTGTAACACAGAACACTACAAGTCAAACTAAAGTGATGATACTTTTTATTCACAAATAATCCAGTTGAAATCAACTGGATAGGGATTTTATTGTAGTAAAGAAGGAGAGGTCCTAATTGGGACGAAATAAATATTAATTTAGTGCATGAAAGGTAATCGACATTCCAAATCTAAGTGGAATTTAAATGCTTGAGAAGAAAGCAAGTGAATTTTCAGTTCAAATAAACAGTGGCTTTAACTATTTGAGAGTCACATGATTCTGTGAGAGAGTGCCAAGCCAAAATTGAAGCCTGTGAGATTTCAATGACGTCACAGAACAACAATTGACAGTTGCAGAATGGCTTCACTTAATAGCCACCCGTTTTGTTATGTTTTTTTTTTATTTATTGTATTTTTGTTTTGTTTTTCACAGAGACTTTTTGTAACGTTCCAGGAAAGAGCTAGCTAGGATAAAAACGTTTGATTATCGATATTCTACATATAAACTGAATCTCAAGGAGACTTTAACAGTTTTCCGCTTTCATTGTTCTTTTATGACTGCAAAGATTTATTCGCATCAGTCGTATAAGACATACAATATGACAACTGATCGTCTAATGACGACATTGTATATAATTATGATGTACACGTGAGCAGGTTGCAAATTTGTACGAAAACACGAATATGATTGGATGATTATTGTATCTCCTTATGAATGTCCGTGGACTTGACTTCAGTGACGTCACCTTATCTATGACGGTTAAGGTTAAGGATGATGAATGAGACTGAAGAAAAGGTTCCGAAATAGGCTACGTATCGTTGTAAAGATGATTTCATTCAAAAGAAAACGTACGCGGTAAGTCAAAGCTGAATGTCTTTAGAAATTTTACAAAATGTTGAGAAAAAATAGATAAAACCTTGTACATTCAAGTTACTCTTGTATTCATACAGAAAAAAAACGTAGCTGTATTTTTTTTAATGAACGAGTGTCTTTCAACAATATCGCCCATAACAGACATTAATTACTTGTCAGGTTTCTTGTGGCATGAATAATTCCAAGATGTTTGCGCGTGGAAGATGAACGATCAAGAGCCTTACTGAAACTAATTAGCTGGCTCAAGTCATTAAACACCCATATGAAATTTGTACGTTGTCAATAATTGTATCAGTTTTAGAAATGAAAAAAAAAAGTTACGTTATTTTTATTTCATCTTTAACAAGCATCCGCATAATTTGAGCTCCTATCTGTTATGGTAATGTGAGCCTCGTTCTGAGATGTTTGCAGTGTGATCTGTTCTCTTTATTTGATACAGAACTCAAAAGGACGCTTCACATAGATTAAGAAACATATTTCTTTTCTATTCAACAAGAAAATGAAGAATCAATAAGAAAACTTTCAGTAAGAAAGCGAATAGAAAGCAAATAAAGATAATTGAGATGACTACAAAACTAAGGCTCATAAATACATGTTTCATCAAATTACACAACGACGGTAAACGTTCCTAGAGGATAAAACACTTACTAAGTACTTTCCGCACGTTATCGTTTGAAGGAACAAATTAATTATGATGAGACTTGCTTGGTAGACTTGTTACCTTAACCCCTTGTTCAAGTTTCATTATCGGCAAATTCTGTGGATATTTCATGAGACTGCCGTAACCTGATTGGCAGATTTCTTTTCCTGTGATGAATGTTGCTCAATTTAAATGTATATATTTTACGAATGAACATGAGTGTGGAATCTAGCTGACCATGTCTTTCTTTGTTTTAAGCGTAATTCAACAGTGTTTTTTTTTCTGTTTTTTGTTTTGTTTTTCGTTTTAAGATTCGTGTTGTTGACGTCATTGTGACGTCACAACTGTGGGAGTAGGTGATGACAACCCTACCTTCAGCCAGCTTGTAGCATCTTAATTCAGTTTCGTATTCATGGCTGTGTTTGAAAATCTTCGTATTTTTTTCTTTCACTTTGTGCCCCAAAGCGACTGTCCAATTCAGACAATTAAGCCTAATTTCAGGTCAATGTTCAATACAATGTTATAGTAGAATGGTCCGGTCCAAATGTTAATGTTTATATCGATTATTTTTGTGTGTGTTTTTCTCCCCTTTTATTCATACATGTTTTTGCATTTTGCATTGCCTATTTACATGTAGTTTGTTGTCCATATATGGTATACGTGACAAGAATAAATTCTGGAGGATGTGAATTTTGTTTGTGACAGGAATTTTACTAGAGGGGTGCCACTTTTGTTTGTGTAACCAGGATAATACGGGTGATTGCCTCAGTCCCGGGTTATGGTGGACTCCGGGGATATTGGTTTACACGTAAGTTCACTATGGGATTATATACTCAACAAAAAAAGAAGGGTTAACATGTTCCCTTGGCGAATACCTGTAAATAAGTGAAAACAAAATGACGTTTGTGCAATATTAGAAAATGGTAATGTTTTACATTACAAAATCCTAGGGGGTTCCCAAAATCATTCAAGCGTGAAAGTCTGTATTAGCGAAAGAGCTGCACGAGGTTTTCTGCGACTATCTTCGCTTGAATTTCATAAACATTCAAACTGACAACTGTTCCTTAGATCCTTAGGACTTAGAAATCACCGAATCTTGCCATCTATCAACTTTATCATTATGCCCCGGCTGTCACAAGTACAGAGAGAAAGGGCTGTAGGCATGATCCAGGCTGGGGAGTCTCGCCGTTGAGTTGCACGGCATTTTGGTTGCAGTGTTAAGACAATTTGCCAGTTGGTAAGTCGTTTAAACCAAACTGGGTCAACATCCGATCGTCCCTGATGCGGCCGACCCCGTAAAACGACCGCCAGGGATGACCGTCGTATACGATTGATACACTTGTGCAATTGATTCGTAACCGCACTAGATACTACAAGGACATTGTTTGGGCGTCGTGTGTCTCCCCAAACAGTCCGCCACAGGTTGAGGGCCTACCAATTGAAAGCGCGGCGTCCCTACACTTGACCCAATTTGTTGCGACGTCACCGTAATAATCGGCGTAACTGGACCCATGTTCACCGTCATTGGGCCTTACAACAATGGAACAATGTTCTGTTTTCAGATGAGTCCAGGTTTTGTCTGCAACACGGTGACGGAAGGCGCAGAGTGTGGAGGCGACGAGGGGAGCGTTTTGCGAACTGCTGCGTCGCAGAACGGGACCGCTTTGGCGGCGGAAGTGTAATGGTTTGGGGTGGTATTTGTGGGGGGAATCGTACCAGGCTTGTTGTGTTAAATGGCAATTTAACCGGCATTCGATATCGGGACGAAATTTTAAGACCAATGGTTCTGCCATTCTTAAGACGCGCCACGGCGTTGGCGCCATTTTCAATAGGATAACGCACCAGCGCACACAAGTCGTGTCAGCAGAACTTTCTTGCAGCAGAATAACGCACAGATGTTAGATTGGCCATCTAAATCACCTGATTTGTCACCGATTAAGCATTTCTGGGACGTTCTTGGGCGACGCGACCTTTATCAAGGCAAAGCATCTACACCAGATTATGTTTCCCGGGACATTTATCAAGGCAAAGCATCTACACCAGATTATGTTTCCCGGGACATTTATCAAGGCAAAGCATCTACACCAGATTATGTTTCCCGGGACATTTATCAAGGCAAAGCATCTACACCAGATTATGTTTCCCGGGACCTTTATCAAGGCAAAGCATCTACACCAGATTATGTTTCCCGGGACATTTATCAAGGCAAAGCATCTACACCAGATTATGTTTCCCGGGACATTTATCAAGGCAAAGCATCTACACCAGATTATGTTTCCCGGGACATTTATCAAGGCAAAGCATCTACACCAGATTATGTTTCCCGGGACATTTATCAAGGCAAAGCATCTACACCAGATTATGGTTTTACGTGGACCTTTGTCTAATCTAAACCTTATAGTGACCCCTCAGTACCGGATTATGGTGTCTGCTGGACTTTTTGACCATACAATCTTCAGTATCGGATTTTAAAGCCTGCATGAACTTTTGACATAATAAAGTCTCAGTGAAGGATTATTGGTGTCTACTGTGTTCCTGTAACTATTTGTCGTTTCTCTGATTTTGGTGTTTACTGTGTTCCTGTAACTATTTGTCGTTTCTCTGATTTTGGTGTTTACTGTGTTCCTGTAACTATTTGTCGTTTCTCTGGTTTTGGTGCCTACTGTGTTCCTGTAACTATTTATCGTTTCTCTGGTTTTGGTGCCTACTGTGTTCCTGTAACTATTTGTCGTTTCTCTGGTTTTGGTGTCTACTGTGTTCCTGTAACTATTTATCGTTTCTCTGGTTTTGGTGTCTACTGTGTTCCTGTAACTATTTGTCGTTTCTCTGGTTTTGGTGTCTACTGTGTTCCTGTAACTATTTGTCGTTTCTCTGGTTTTGGTGTCTACTGTGTTCCTGTAACTATTTGTCGTTTCTCTGGTTTTGGTGTCTACTGTGTTCCTGTAACTATTTCTCGTTTCTCTGGTTTTGGTGTCTACTGTGTTCCTGTAACTATTTGTCGTTTCTCTGGTTTTGGTGTTAGATATATTTATGTATTTTACATTTCTTAAAGCACAACATTTGTTAAACAAAACAGTTTAATTCCCACATGGTTTTATTCAAAGCGTGTTTTGACATACTTTCCGATTAAAACTGGACGTTAACACCTTGGAAATGAATGTTTACACTTTTGACATAATTTCCATTTCTGATACACTGTACACTTTTGGGGTAAAGGTTTCACCAAAAAAGGAGGCTTCATAGCTGCTTGTGTATGAATGAGTACCACAGCATTCAGGTAAATGATAAATATAAAAAAGTTTGCGGGGTATTTAATTTCGTGCAACCTTTAACAGCCGCAAATAGAGCGAAATTATATCCTCTGTGAATATTACCAACTACACTATATATCAAAACCTCTTCCATCTAAACACAACAAAATTGTAATAAGTCATCTGTCTCAATCCCTCTGGTCTTTATTTCTAGGGTGCTAAACATTAGATAACCAATCTGTTTACAATGTTCAGTAATTAATAATACTATTTTCCATGTACATGTAAAGCAATGAGACACAAAGAGAAAAACCAGAACTTACAAAGATCTTGTATCACTAGATTCTGGACATACTAATATCGTCTATCGACTTGGGGAAGTCAAAACATCTTATGGCTAGCGTAAAGTGCGCGGTTTTTCAGCTTCTTCCTCGCACAAACGCTTTAAAAGCTTCTGAGTGACCCGGTTTTTGCATCTTAAGCACTGTTCATTAAGCGGTCAGAACGATTCGTTCAAACATGCATCTATGTACTGAAAACATATGGCTTAACTAATCATGGTGACTATAGCAAATACAGATTTTGTATTTTATTGTAATTGTCCATTATATTCGACAACAAACCATTAGGCATGTCCACATTTCATAAACCCAGGTTTAACAGGCAAAATCAAATGGCATTCAACGTTAAGGCTACGTATACTGTACCCAAAAGGGAACGCTACCCAATATTTTATCTTGCGATAAGGAAGGCCACACCGTTGTCCGACGGAAATAGGCCTACATTAAAAGTTAACTGCAGTTTGCTCTTGGTGTGGGAATAACTAACATGTTTAAGTGAGGATTTGATTTTGTGTCCGAGTGTCCCTCACTGTGTTAAGTTACACCAGAGACATCTTTGCTTACGCTTTCATTGAATATGGTGTTAAGTAATCACTCCTTACGGTGTTAGGTAACACATCTAAATATGATTGGTTGTACAGGCTTAACATGTTAAGTAACACTTCTCAGAGAAGATTTGGTGAAAAGACAGTCCCGCGCGGCTGAAAGGTAACACCTCTCAGTGACGATTTGGTGTAACGTCGCCCCGTACGGTGTAAGATAACACCTCTCTGTGACGATTTGGTGTAACGTCGCCCAGTGCGGTGTTAGATAACACTTCTCGGTGACGATTTGGTGTAACGTCGACCAGTGCGGTGTAAGATAACACTTCTCGGTGACGATTTGGTGTAACGTCGCCCCGTACGGTGTAATATAACACCTCTCTGTGACGATTTGGTGTAACGTCGCCCAGTGCGGTGTTAGATAACACTTCTCGGTGACGATTTGGTGTAACGTCGCCCAGTGCTGTGTAAGATAACACTTCTCGGTGACGATTTGGTGTAACGTCGACCAGTGCTGTGTAAGACAACACTTCTCGGTGACGATTTGGTGTAACGTCGCCCCGTACGGTGTAAGATAACACCTCTCTATGACGATTTGGTGTAACGTCGCCCAGTGCGGTGTTAGATAACACTTCTCGGTGACGATTTGGTGTAACGTCGCCCAGTGCTGTGTAAGATAACACCTCTCGGTGACGATTTGGTGTAACGTCGCCCAGTGCTGTGTAAGATAACACTTCTCGGTGACGATTTGGTGTAACGTCGCCCCGTCCGGTGTAAGATAACACTTCTCGGTGACGATTTGGTGTAACGTCGCCCAGTGCTGTGTAAGATAACACTTCTCAGTGACGATTTGGTGTAACGTCGCCCAGTGCGGTGTAAAATAACACTTCTCGGTGACGATTTGGTGTAACGTCGACCAGTGCTGTGTAAGACAACACTTCTCGGTGACGATTTGGTGTAACGTCGCCCCGTACGGTGTAAGATAACACCTCTCTATGACGATTTGGTGTAACGTCGCCCAGTGCGGTGTTAGATAACACTTCTCGGTGACGATTTGGTGTAACGTCGCCCAGTGCTGTGTAAGATAACACCTCTCGGTGACGATTTGGTGTAACGTCGCCCAGTGCTGTGTAAGATAACACTTCTCGGTGACGATTTGATGTAACGTCGCCCAGTGCTGTGTAAGATAACACTTCTCGGTGACGATTTGGTGTAACGTCGCCCAGTGCGGTGTAAGATAACACCTCTCGGTGACGATTTGGTGTAACGTCGCCCAGTGCTGTGTAAGATAACACTTCTCAGTGACGATTTGGTGTAACGTCGCCCAGTGCGGTGTAAGATAACACCTCTCGGTGACGATTTGGTGTAACGTCTCCCAGTGCTGTGTAAGATAACACTTCTCAGTGACGATTTGGTGTAACGTCTCCCAGTGCTGTGTAAGATAACACTTCTCAGTGACGATTTGGTGTAACGTCGCCCAGTGCGGTGTAAGATAACACCTCTTGGTGACGATTTGGTGTAACGTCGCCCAGTGCTGTGTAAGATAACACTTCTCGGTGACGATTTGATGTAACGTCGCCCAGTGCTGTGTAAGATAACACTTCTCAGTGACGATTTGGTGTAACGTCGCCCAGTGCGGTGTAAAATAACACTTCTCGGTGACGATTTGGTGTAACGTCGACCAGTGCTGTGTAAGACAACACTTCTCGGTGACGATTTGGTGTAACGTCGCCCCGTACGGTGTAAGATAACACCTCTCTATGACGATTTGGTGTAACGTCGCCCAGTGCGGTGTTAGATAACACTTCTCGGTGACGATTTGGTGTAACGTCGCCCAGTGCGGTGTAAGATAACACCTCTCGGTGACGATTTGGTGTAACGTCGCCCAGTGCTGTGTAAGATAACACTTCTCGGTGACGATTTGATGTAACGTCGCCCAGTGCTGTGTAAGATAACACTTCTCGGTGACGATTTGGTGTAACGTCGCCCAGTGCGGTGTAAGATAACACCTCTCGGTGACGATTTGGTGTAACGTCGCCCAGTGCTGTGTAAGATAACACTTCTCAGTGACGATTTGGTGTAACGTCGCCCAGTGCGGTGTAAGATAACACCTCTCGGTGACGATTTGGTGTAACGTCTCCCAGTGCTGTGTAAGATAACACTTCTCAGTGACGATTTGGTGTAACGTCTCCCAGTGCTGTGTAAGATAACACTTCTCAGTGACGATTTGGTGTAACGTCGCCCAGTGCGGTGTAAGATAACACCTCTCGGTGACGATTTGGTGTAACGTCGCCCAGTGCTGTGTAAGATAACACTTCTCAGTGACGATTTGGTGTAACGTCGCCCAGTGCGGTGTAAGATAACACCTCTCGGTGACGATTTGGTGTAACGTCTCCCAGTGCTGTGTAAGATAACACTTCTCAGTGACGATTTGGTGTAACGTCGCTTCACACGATGTAAGGTGACAGGTTTCAGTACTGATTTTGTGTAAAGTTATTCCCTTACTGTGTAAAGTAACACTTTTAACTGAAAATTTGGTGTAATGCAGCACCCGTGCGGTTTAAGGTAACATTAAAGGTATCGATTTAGTGAAAAGTCATTCAATTACAATGTAAAGTAACACTCTTAGGTGAGATTCTGGGGTAAAGTCACCCCTTACGATGTAAAGTAACACTCTTAGGTGAGATTCTTGGGTAAAGTCACCCCTTACGGTGTAAAGTAACACTCTTAGGTGAGATTCTTGGGTAAAGTCACTCTCTTACGGTGTAAAATAACACTTTTAGGTGAGAATCTGGTGTAAAGTCACTCTCTTACGGTGTAAAGTAACACTTTTAGGTGAGAATCTGGTGTAAAGTCACTCTCTTACGATGTAAAGTAACACTTTTAGGTGAGAATCTGGTGTAAAGTCACTCTCTTACGGTGTAAAGTAACACTTTTAGGTGAGAATCTGGTGTAAAGTCACTCTCTTACGGTGTAAAGTAACACTTTTAGGTGAGATTCTGGTGTAAAGTCACCCCCTAATGGTGTAAGATTTAGGATTGAAGTAACACCAAATGTCGGTATACTATACACTTTTCTTTGTTGTGATTAACTTTACATCAGAAATGGTGTAAACAAAATAGGAGTGAATTTAAACGTTAAAAACACCATATATGGATGAACGTAACACTAAAGGTTTACAGTGTAGACGTCCTCTATCATAGCACATTTAGTATAAACAACAACAGTAACACTCTTTTCCATGAAATACATC